CGCCTTTAATCCCAGCACTTGGGAGGCAGGTAGATCTCTGAGTTTGAGGCCACCCTGATCTACAAAGTGAATTCTAGGAGAGTCAAAGCTACACAGAGAAACCCAATGTTTTGAAGAAAAACAAACACACAAAAACAAAAAGAAAAGAAAAAAATTGAACAAAACCAGCAATTCTAGTCAACAAATGCTTATGGAACACTCTTCATGGGCCAGCCTTGAATGGTGGAGTGACAAGATAATTCCAGGGTTTTCTCCCATGAAGTCATGATCCAGGAGGGCCAGAGAAGCATGGGAATTGGCAAGTTCAGGATCACAGGAAACTGGAGCCAGCTGCCTTTAGCTCTGGGGTCAGGGAGACTTCCAGAGTGAGGTCAGTCTTGATTGAGTTTTGAAGAATGTTAAAATTAGCTCCATGAGGCAGTAGGGTAGCTAGATGGAAAGGATGAGGCAAGGAGGCGAGAAGCAGAGGATTTTTTGCCGGAACTAGGTTCTGTGGCTAAAGAGAGAGGCACTTAGAGGGAAGCCCTGGGGTTCTAGGCCCTTAGGGGAGCCACACACAGCTCCTACCCTCCTGGCTTTCCTTCTTCCTTTTCAGACTCACCAGCCTGCTGTCAGGAGGAGCTTTTTAGTTTCCTTAACAATCCCTCCTCCCAGAAACTCCCTCACCATCTTCCTCTCTTCCCACCCCTCTTAAACAGCTCCCATCATTCTCTAAGGCCACCCTGCCCTCTCTAGGGCCTCCTCGATTCCTCAGTGAGTCGTTTCTGATTCATCAGAAAAAAACTTTGCACTCAGAGTTGGGACGGCATGGCCACTTTCTACAGTGGGAAGATTGCTGTACAAATTGCACAGAGATACAAATTGGCAATAGCCCAGTGATAGCCTGCTTATCGAAGCCAGTGTCTGTTGGGTGTCCTGGCTCTGCCTTCTTTCTTCTCTGCCTTCTTATCTGACTGAAAAAAGGCCCGTGAAATTGATGCTCCAGGGTTATTTTGAAGCAGGTCTGTATAAAGCAGAGATGTATCGAAGCAGGTTTTGTTGTTGTTGTTATTGTTTGTTTGTTTTTGTTTTTTCGAGACAGGGTTTCTCTTTATTGGTTTCGAGCCTGTTCTGGCACTCACTGTGTAGACCAGACTGGCCTCGAACTCACAGAGATCTGCCTGCCTCTGCCTCCCGAGTGCTGGGATTAAAGGCATGCACCACCAATACCCAGCTCGAAGCAGGTATTTTTATCCAGATTTCACACTTAAATTGAACTATACATGTTTCTCTAGACATCAAGGCATCATATTCATTCCTGTATGCATGCATACAGGTGTGTATGACACAAAAATTATGTAATGTAGCTCTTATATTTTATGTAGTGCTCACTATTTACTAAATTCTGTGTCCAGTTCTGTAAGCTCTAGCCTCCCCTGAAGGAGCACTTTGCTCAGAAGGAGGAGACACAAGGCAACAAAGAGGCAAAATACAATGGGTCCAGGACATAATACAATGGTTCCAGCAAGACAATGGGATTCAGTGTGTGGGAAACATAGCAGCAGTCAGTTCACCTAAGGCAGGGTGCAGGAAAGTCTCTGTAGGTCACCTTTTCATTGTTTCTGGAAAGTCAAGCCAAGGAAGTAAGTTCTAGTGTCTATCTATCCATCCATCTCTTTGTCAAATTTTATCTTTCTATGCTTTAAGTAACCACCTTTCCCATTTTAAATGATACAATTTTAGGAAAATAAAGGAAAGGAAGAGAAAGGTGAATCAAAGCAAGTATGTTGAGCCAGGCAGTGGTGGCACGTACCTTTAATCCCAGCACTCGGGAGGCAGAGGCAGGCCAATCTCTGAGTTCGAGACCAGCCTGGTCTACAGAGTAAGTTCCAGGACAGCCAAGGCTACACAGAGAAACCCTATCACAAAACAAACAAATCAAATACATTGAATGATGGGACCCAAAGAAATACACAGGAGTTTAGGAACACCCACAAGATGAAGCATTTTTCTGTACTTTTTGGTACCTGTTATGCATAAGATGTCGTATGTCTAAACCAGAAGAAGCAACCCTGCAGACCCAGCATCTGACACTCTTAAACCATAGCACCCGTGCTAGTAGAGGAGCCAGCCGGTACTCTTAACTGCTGGGCCGTCTCTCCATCTCATTTAAAAGTTTTATTAATATAGTGTATGAATATTTTGCCTGCATGTATGCCGTGTACACGACATTGTATGTGTAGGGTCCATGGAGGCCAGAAGAGGGCATCAAATCCTCTGGAACTGGAGTTACTAATGGTTCTGAGTGACTATGTGGGTGCTGGGGATTGGATCCATGTATTCTGGAAGAACAGTAAGAACCGTTTCTCGAGCCCTCAAATGTTCTTGGATGGTCTCCCATCCGGGCAAAAGGAGTGTACACTAAAGACTATCTTTAGTGTTGATTATTTTTCAATTTTATTTTACTCATTTTTCTTTCTTTTTGGTGCTAGGGATTGAACCCAGGGTCTGTCTCCTGCTAAGCACTTTCTCTACCACTGAGCTGTCCTCCCAGCCCTCTATTCAGGTGTTTAATAAGCATTTGCTTGATTTAAAAGTCCAAAAACATGCCAGGCATTGGTGGAGCATGCCTTTAGTTCCAGCACTCGGGAGGCAGAGGCAGACGGATCTCTGTGAGTTGAGACCAACCTGGTCTACAGAGCTAGTTCCAGGACAGGCTCCAAGGCAATACAGAGAAGCCCTGTCTCGAAACCCCCCCCCAAAAGTCCAAAAAACATAAAGACAAAGTGGGGGCTTCCATCCTTCAATTTCTCATTCCTTTCCACAATTAAACACAATTATTAGTTGTTTTTCCTTCCTTTTTCTATTTTCTCCTGGTAATGCACATATAAACAACTAGGAATACATTTACTTATTCCCCTTTCCAAATAAATCATAGTGTTTAGGACCCAGTGTTCTGTGCTCAGCTCGACTCTTCAGACCCACAGGCCCTGAACCTGAAGGTTAATAACAGGTATCTGTTGATTATCACTTTGGGGTTTTCTAACCCTTTGTTATTACACACATGACCACAATTATACAACATTGTGTGTATGCCACCACCCATCTAGACAGCTGGACAAAGAAGACACATTTCTAGAATACAAATTGCTGGGCCAAAGTGGGAACTTTGAGTGATACATGTCAGATTTCATTTGGTCAGGCTTTACAAATATGAATCCCACCAACAATTCTCGGGGACTTTGGGATCTGCATATTCAGTCTAGAGGATCACTTTGAGTCTACATGTATTGCAAGGCCTCTGGACTCTGAGAAAATATATACTTTTATTTTAAAAATAGCTTTAGACTTTTTGTTTGTTTGTTTGAAAATGAAAGAAGCCGCTTTTATAAGTTGCAGCTGAACAATATGCAAACATCACAAGTAGTTTGGAAAAGACTTGGCAAACATGACAGAGTCTGAAAGGCCTTGAATCAGTTCCCTAGATGCTCATGACACTGATTCACACAACCTGCCCGAGGTGGATACCGAGTCACGTGTCTGCAAAGTTATGTTCCTTTTGTTTCTATAATAAATATTTCCCAGCTCCCACAGTCTACCTGTCCCCTCCACACGCACACAGCACCTGTGTCCTCTAGTCTTGAAAGAAGTGTAAAGCTGTTGGTGAGAAAAGCCGCCCCATGGTGTACTTCCCTGTAGGGTGAGCCTCTTCCCCTCATGGTCCCCAGATGTCAACCACACAGACAGCTGAGAGCTGGCAGAGAGGCACGGCGTTATTTCTTCCCACACAGACAGTAAACTTTGGTGGAGAAGCTGCAGATGGATGCCAGACCCCTCCTATTTGTGACAGTAGCCGGAGGTCCTTATTGTTTTCAGTCACAAGGGACTAGCTTCCTTGAGGACTTCCTCGGGAGAGACCCACTCTGAGGCTTTCCTCAGAGGCTTCATCAGCGAGGTACCCAAGCGCTCCATTGCATAGTGCCTGGCTGTCGGCATCTGTTGGGCAGCAGTGCTGGTGACAAGCACAGCTGTTTTCTTCCCCACCCTTCCTCACCCAGCTCACCTCCAGAGAATCCACCTGGGAAACTGGCCCGGCTGGTGTGGCCTCTCATGAGTGGTTGGGTCATGAGGAGGGTGGACTTGGCAGGGAGGGAGGTGGGAGCCCCCAGGGGTTAAGTTGCTCACATAGCTCTCAGCTGACTCAAGCCTCACCTGTGGGGCGTCCCCTCCACCCCGTGTCTTTTATTTTACCCTTGAGAACCACAAGATGTAAAATTGGGTCTGCTCCTTGGGTCCGGAGGGTTGCAGAAACTCTGCCTCTGTGGCTACCCTGCCACCTGTGGGCTCTTCCACGTTGTTCCCTGCTGTGATCTTGGCTGTCCAAAAGGCTCCTTTTCTGTTGCCGCCTCACCCACTCCCCACCCCCGCCCCCATCCTGGGCTACAATCCCAAAGAAGACCTTTCAAGATGGTGGGTTAGAGACCAGCAGGATGCTTGAGGGTCGTATTTGAGACTAAGATGCCAGGAAACCGGAGTGGGGACCCTGTATCAACTTTTGTGTGTTCCTGAGGGCATAGTGCAGAACCTCCGTGGGAGGGAATTCTGACCTGGAAGAGGCCTTCCTTCCATTGGGCCCCACCTGTCAGGACATGGACCAGCAGGACATGGACCTTGTGCCTAAGAGGTCTACCTGGCTTCAGGTTGATTACGTGGCAGGTAAGTCTGTGACCCTGTAGAAGGGCAGTGGACACCCACCTTCTAGCCTGCTTAGTTCCAGCCTAGAGAAGAGGTGTTTCTTGGGGATTCTCATGAGGGAGTCAGCAGCTCGGTTCAATGCTGGCCTAAGAGGTTCTGCCTCAGCCTCTCCTCATGCCAAAGCCCTCCCTGACAAGGGATGGAAAGGGTGGAGACAAAGCCCTTAAATTTCCAATCTAGCCCCACCCTCTCTGAGCCTAGGACCTCCCTTTGGAGCTGGCTTGTCCAGGGTCTCCACTGGGACCCTCCACCCTCTCCCGCGCAGCGTGGAGCGCAGCTTCGATGCTGGGCCTTACTCCCCCATCCTCTGCATGCTGCAATTCATGCCTGCTTCCTCACCAGCAACACCCAGGGCAGGATGGCAGCTACCACAGCCACCACGGCAATGAGGGTGATGAGGAGAAGGGCCCGAGACCGGCAGCAGAAGGAGCGGGTGGCGCTGGGAGCTGGGGATGCCTCAGAGATCTCTGCCAGGCTGCGTCGGGGCAGCACACTGTCCTGTTCCCCCAGTGGCATCCCATGGCGGCTGATGATGAAGATCTGCGACTCTCGGGGTAGGGTGGGCAGCAGGTCCAAGGGGAGCTGCGTCCCCTGGCTTGGCGATTGTCTCCAGACCTGCTGGGAGACAGCCAGGGGGTTTGTGTGGCCCCCACGATCTGGTGAGGGCACAGAGGGCAGGCCAACGGGCACAGCCAGGGTCTGTGAGCTCTTGTCCAGCATGGAGGGCCAGCGGGAGCTCTTCTTGCTGAGGAAGGTGACATAGCGGCAAATGGGGCAGACGATAGTCCTCTGCACCTGTCCGTCCACCCGGGTGGACAGCAGGTACTTGACCAAGCAGTCGTGGCAGAACACATGGCCGCAGCTCAGGGTCCGGCAGGCGCCCTCTAGATCCCGGAACTTCTCGTAGCACACAGGGCACTCGCTGCCCGAGCTGTCCTTGCTCTCGCCTTCTGACATGGCCCCTCAGAGGTAGCAGGCCTTAGCTGGGGCCTAAGGGGATAGAGGTTGGAGGGTTGTGAACATCTGGGGGGGTTTCCTCCTTCCCCTCCCCCTTGCTGACTCCTACTCAAATCCCGTCTCCACCTGTTCTTTCTCCTGTTGCTTTCTCTTCTTTCTCCTACTTTCTTTTCTGGTTCTCCCCCCCCCCCCCAAGGCCCACCTGGACTAAACTAAGAAGCAGGGCCTAGGATCCACAGAGTGTTGTACAGGCTCCCCTGGGGCTGGCATCAGGAAACAGGTAAGAGAGGCTTGGGTAGGAAGTGTGTGGAGTGGGTCAGCTGCCTGAAGTCCCTGATGCCTCACCACAGCTATGACAAACACCGGTGACGTCATCACCTCGCCTCTTCCTGATTCAGTGCCTGACCTGGCTCCCAGGGCAAGTAGGGGCTGAGGAGATAAATGGCCAGATGCGAAGGCAATTAGTGTTTAGTTCGGCTCCCAGGGCAAGTAGGGGCTGAGGAGATAAATGGCCAGATGCGAAGGCAATTAGTGTTTAGTTCGGGTCTACACTACATACTATGTTACTATTCCTCAGACTTCTCCCCAATCGGAGCTTGCCTGATCTGTGGCCAAGCTAGGTTCCTATGTCTCACATCACCATTTCCAAGACCCTGTTCTTGGTGGAAGTCATAACTACAGAGCAATAAAAAAAGTGAAGCTCAGAACTTACGCATGCAAGTGCCTGCTGGGTGCTGAGTGCTCACACACCAGCCATGTCCAAGCACTCTTCAGATTCTCCTCTGGTGACCAGAGGCAGGCAGAAGATTCAGAGTAGCCTCAGGAAAAGCAGATTTTCATTCTTGGAGGACGCGTCTGATATTTTGGAAATGGGCAAAATCACTGAGACCTGAGTCTGGTGATAAACGAGTGGTCAAGGTCTTAATATTGTTTGAAATCAAAGCTACAGAGCCCACTTGGAAGTTCCAAGTGTGCTTCAAAGGAGTCTGAGAGGAAATGGGAGACCCAGTTACTCAGCAGAACTCTGGGTGACCTTGAAGGGGACCACCTGCTTGGATGTGTGGTGAATCCAAGCTGTTGCCTATACATGTCCCTAGTATCACAGCGGTGTAGCCTACACTTGTCCAAATACCTGTAATTGATATATAGCGGCAAAGACCGAGGACCCAAGATTCACTGAGGACTGCCCTGAAATCTGACAGACAACGTGGTAGGAACAGGATTAGCTACCAGGAGAAAGAATCTATGGGGATCACAATCTTTTGGAACCACCCTCTTCTCTTTGTTTAGTTAAAAAATCCTTTGCTGGGTTGAAAATGTACTAATATTTAAACACTTCAAAAAAGGTGTGGTGATGAGACCTGGAGTCATAGAAACAGTCCCAAATCTTTGTGGAGGTTTCTTTGATCTCTGAGGTGGCTGGGAGATGAGGGTCAAGCACTAGAGGGTAGGACTGGGTTGAACGCCTCATCTATTGCATTACTTATTACCTATTACACCCACTGCTATCTGTTAACCTTGGTCAAGCCATTCAGCCCCTCTGAGCCCCAGTTTCTTTGCAGAATGAGATTGGGAGCTGGGCATGGTGGTCCATGCCTTTTACATGGTAAGTTCCAGGAAAGTCGGGGCTACATGGTGAGACCCTGTCTCAACAAAACAAAAAAGATGAGGTTGGCAATAGAGCCAGTGGTGGTTTTAGTGACTGAAATGTATGACACATGCTAAGACAGCTCACATCCTCTCTGTTCTCCTGGAGGGGGCCTGCAGGTCCCTGTTGGGCATGTAGCCTACAGAGTCACAACCATGAAAAAGGACAGCTCTTTTCAAAGCAGAATAACCAGACAAGATGACAGTAGGTTAGGTAAACGGTGGACATTGGAGGAATTAGCATAGCAATAGCAAATTCTCAGGTTTGTTTCCTTAAAGATGGACAAAGTCTTCATGGAATAGGTTGCTATCAAGACGATTTAAAAAAAAAAAAAAAAAAAAGACAACGGACAACTGAACTGCCCCTCGCCATTGTATAACTCACCAAGAGATACAGTGGCAACTCCTTGCATCTGGTCATTCATCTATGTGTCCATCCATCAAATTCCAACAGCTATTTGCCAAATACTGAGATTGTACACTGGAGATAAAAGGTGGTCACGAAATCTTTCATGAAGCCTAACTGACATTTATGAGTTTTCCTTTTCCTTCTTTTCTTGTTTCTTGGAGTCAGGGTCTCATTGTAGCTCAGGTTGGTGTAGAACCAGACTGTAGCTAAGACTGACTTGAACTTAGTCCTCCCGCCTCTCTACCCACCACATGCTGTGATCACAGGCAGGTACCACCATGCTTGGGTATGAGCTCTTTGTCTGTTTTCTTTTAATAGATTGTTTAAAGGAGGATTGATGACCAGTAATATAAGTTGTTTGGATAACAGAGAACTGGAGCTCAAGACAGGCTTAGTGAACAAGTATGAGTGGAAGAACATGGGGAGGAAGGCAGGAGTTCAGTATCGTTCAGTCAAAGCCTCCAGCTTTATAAATTAGGAAATTCAGCGTTAGAGGTGCATAGAAAGAGAGAAGAGAAGGAAAATTGCACGGGTGATGCAGAGAATGTTATTAGACCCTGTTGACTGGGCGAGTAGATGTTAGCCAAGTCAGGAAGTCATGCTAGGAAGGCCTGACCTGAGAGGAGGAGCTTTTGCTGCTTCTCTTCTCTGAGCTCTAGGAAAAGCAAAAAAAAAAAAAAAAGCAATCCAGCGAGTGTCAGAGACATCCTGGGTTACTCACCAGAACCCGTCAGCTTCCTGTGTTCCCCCCCTCCTTCATTTCCCAGTGTTTTCCTGACCCCTCCCTCCTTAGTTTCTCCTTTCTCTCCATTTTGTCCCGTGCTGTCCATGCTGAGTGCTCTAGGGGGCCTGACTCTGTCTCAGGAGCTGGGCTGTGAGGGAATACAGCATATAAAATACTAGGACCAGGACCATGCGGTAGTTGGGGCACAGGCTAGGTAAGTGCATTGCCAAGCATCCTATACCAAAGACATCCACCTAGGTGCCCTGAGGAACCCGGGGGGGGGAGGGGGGAAGAGGAGGACTGAGAAGTCTTCCTGGCTAAAGTGAGACTAGTGTTGAGCTAGTAATAAATAATTATAACAGCGGCCGTTTATTGACCACTAATTACATGTTTGGCATTTCCAATCCCTTCCTCACCAAATCCTGACAACAAGTTGGGAGGTGGGTATTATCTCTACTTTACAGAGAAGGGACCTGAGGCTTAGGACTCAAGTCATAATGCTAGGATAGGGAAGACCTAAAACTTGAACTCAGGACAGCATAGCTTGACAGCCTATAGGATGTATCGCCGTTTCTACTGGGATTCAGACAGGCCTCTATGGGAGACCTTTCAGACTTCAGTACATGATGCAGCCCCAGCAGAAAAGTGACACCCTGTTCTCAAGCGTCTCTAAACAAGGCTGCCTCTCCGGCCTTTTAAGACGTGAGGAGAAGTAGGTGAAGGGAGCCAATCTCATGAAACTCCTGTACCCATGATTTTTTTTAAACAGGGACATCATATTTCCAGGATAGAGATGAGGAACAGGTGTCACCCACCCAAGGACATCACCCTCCATGAGGCAGAGTGCTACTTCTAGACACCTGAGGTTCCCTCCCAGAGCCCTAGTGCAAGTCAGGCAGTTTCAGCCAAGACTGCCTCCCCACCCATAAGCAACACACACACTTGCTTTCGTTGCCCTTTCTCTCAAACATCATTGCAGCTTCAGTTCACAGCATTGCCACTCTCCTTGCTCCTCCCAGCCAGCATCCCCTCCCCACACACACACCTGGGCTGGTACCTACCGGAGAGTAGTGTCTGTCTTTCTGTGCAAGGCCTCCACAGAGCAGATGGTTACCCAAAGGCGCTGGTCTGACAGCTGCTGTCACTGTGCCGGCTGTGGAGGCATTTCCTAATGACTGAGCAGATCGGGAGGACAGCGCAGGGAAGTGAATGCTGCCCAACCCGTTTGAGGCCAGGAGGCTCTCGGTGCTGCCCAGGGGTTGGGCAGCTGCTGGTGTCAGGTGATCTGAGTGAGGGTGCTAACTGAAGAGCCTGGCCTGAGTCAGAGGGTCTCTCGATGGAAGCAGTATCCCAGGTTCCCTTGACTGGGGCTTCCTGGCCAGGCGTTTCCCCATCCAATCATGGGGATCTCCATCTCTGACCCTATGTAGACCTCTAAGAAGAGGTCAGAGCCTATGTAGGCTGTGACACCCAAAGTCTCCAACCAAGTTTGGTGTGATGTGCCCATGTGCAACTGCTAGTTAAACAGAGGGGCTTAGTGTGCCAATAGACCAGCATAAACAGGCATAATTTGGTTTGGGGGAATGACCGTGAATGTCCTAAAGTAAATTTGGACAACTGCGTATTTCAAAATAGCTGATAGAGAGTTTTGAATGTTCTCAACACAGAGAAATGGTTTATCATTGATATCTGTAATTATGGATATGCCAGTCACAATGATCCAATCATTAAAGATTGTATTCACATAGTGAAATGCCACACCCCCCAACTCTACCCCTTACATGTGTATAATCATGTGTCATTTGAAGGTTAAAAACTTGTTAAAATCCTATTGAGGGGCCTGGGCATGAAGAGCAGTAGGTGAAGTGCTTGCTTGCTGTGTACAAAGCCCTGGGTTTGAGTCCCAGCTCTGTAAACCAGATGTGGTAGCACGTGCATGCAATCCCAGCACTCAGAAGCTAGACAGAAGGGTCATAAATTCAAGGTCATCCTCAGCTACTAGAGAATTTGAGGCCAGCCCGGGATACTTGAGACTCTGTCCCCCCCAATTTTTTTTTTTAAAGTTGAGGTAGGGGCTTGTGGTTAAGAGCATTTGTTGCTCTCGCAGAGGATCCTGGTTTGAGTCTCAGCGCCCACATGACGGTGCACAGCTATCCATAACTCCAGTTCCTGGACATTTGATGCCCTGTTCTAACCTTGGTTGTCATCAAGCCCACACATACTACACATATGTACACATATGCCAAATAAATTAATA